ATGTTGTTGGCCATTAAACAAAAAAGGCAGTCGCCAAGCCAATGGGCTTTTGTCTTAATGGCAACTGCAAATGCTGCTAATGTTAATTTAAGAAAATACATTTTCCAAATGCCAATGCATGTGTGTGTGTGTGTGTGTGTGTGTCAGTGCGTGTGCTTGTTGTGGCTGGCAACATTTGTGCAATATTATTTGCGGTCCATATGGTTGAGAGTCCTCTGATCCTTTTAGTTTTGCGGCAGCAGCCAATTAATTGCTTGAGCCGCTACCAGCGTACAACTAATTAAAGAAATATTCGCTTAAAAATATCCTGTGGGCTCTCTCTCCTCCTCTCTCTCGCTCTCTTTTTGACCAAAAGGATGCCTGTGCTGCTGCTCATGTGGCTTGTGACGTGCTAAGCAATCAATTATGGCAGTCAAGGAGCAGACGCCCCAGCTAAAGCATTTAGTTCGAGTTGAGTTCGGTTTTTGGTTGTCTACTTGACGCGAGCCTATCGAGCGACAACAACAACAAGAGGAAGAAGGCGTCTAAGCAACAAGCACAATTAATTATGCACAGGGCCGGGTCCTTTGTAGCGGCTTTCATGCTGCTCCGCTGTGCGCTTGTGTATTTGTGTTTGTGTTTTGCGTCTGTGTTTGCCCAGGCCAGCACAAGATACGGCTACGGCTACGGCTACGGCTACGGCTACGGCTACGGCTACGGCTACGGCTACGGCTACGGCTACGGCTCCGGCTGTGGCTGTGGCTCCGGCTCCGGCTCAGCCAGCTGCCTTGAGCGCAGACGACAGCATATGCTTATGCATGCCTAATTACGACAAATCCTTGCCCCAACCCGAAACACAGCTCAGAGACCAGCAGCCAGCGCGAGAACAAGCACGCGCAAATGAAGCAGGCAGCAACACACACACACACACACACACACGCACACGCACAGGCGTGTATTTAGGCTTAGGCGTTCATAATTATGGCCGTATTTAGAGAAATTGGTTATTATGTGCCTAACGCCATTTGTCTGACTGAAATAGTTTGTATTTGGCAGAGTCTTAGCCACGAGCTAAGCGCGCGGGTTGCCCAATAAATAGCTAAACTTTCGCTTGGCTGGTAATCGAAAGTTTCATGACAATAGCTTTAAGGCTTATGGAGACGGACAGACGGGCTTGACTAGGAGATGTCTTCTTCTATGCGTCTCTCCACAGGGGTGTATATATTCTGTAGAAGCTATAGAATCTATACGCCAGATAAATTCTAAATTGTATAGATTGTAAAAATACTCTCTGTTATTTCTCATTATAAAAGTTGTGAGGCAACCCTCGCTAATTGCTGTTGCCAAGCGCCGAATGCTTGAAATTGTTTGCTAATTCATTATTATTGGCACTCGAGTCTAACAGTTAACTGTGCTATTGTCCCTGCCAGGATCACCCGTAGCTGTAGCTTCTTCAGCAATTAGCCAAACTCTTCGCATTTGTGAGTGTGTGTGTATAGATGTCCATTAATAATGCTTGTTTGTGGCGCTCGTTATGCCATCCGCGTCTGCCAATTGGCCATCCATCAGATGTAATTAATCATGCTTCAGCCTAACGATTCCACTCGAAATATGCAACCCAAATTGATGCCGCAATTATCCACGGCTATAAAATACCAGCTAAACAATGTGAGAAAGTCGCACATGTTGCAAGCACTCGTGTGTGTGTGTTTGTGTGTGTGTGTGTGTGGCGACAATGCAACACGCGTCACACTTGAGGCCAAAGACAAAGCAGCCAATGCGAATGCGAATGCGAATTGCTTTTAAATGCGCATTTAACAGCCAAACAAATGACTTATAAATATGGTAGGGGAAGGAGGGGTGGTGGTGAGTGGAGGAGGGGTAGGCGGTTGGAGGGGTACTGCGTACAAAGATGACCTAGTCCATGATGAGAGACGAGTGCGCCTTGGCGTAAGGCGGACATCATTTGCGGCGCGTTGACATCTTGCTGATGAGTATAATATGGCATGGCTGTCATAAATTGCAGCAGCAAAAGCGTTAATGGCAAGAGCAGAAGCAACAACAACATCAGCAGCAAGAGTAGCAACAGTAACAACAAGCTGAAACAGTAACAACAACAGCAGCAGGTATACAAGAGCAGCAGCAAAAAACACAAAAGCAGCGACAACAATAACAGCAGCAACAGCAGTAGCAACAACAATAGCAACAGCAGTAATGACAGCAGCAGCATCAGGAACAGCAACAATAACAGCAACGTCAAGTGCAGCAACAAGAACAGCAGCAGCAATAGCAACAACAACAGTAACATCAAGAACAACGGCAACATCAGCAAAGACAGCAGCAACAACAACAGCATCACAAGCAACGTCAGCAACAACTGCAGCAACAACAACAACTTCAAGTGCAGTAACAGCAGCATCAACAAGGGCAACAACAACAACATCAGCAACAGCAGCAAAAGCAGCAACAATAGAAACAATAGCAAAAGCAGCATCATCAGGAACACCAACAACAACAGTAATATCAGCAAAGACAGCAGCAACAGCAACAACAACAGAATCAAAAGCAACGTCAACAACAACATCAAGTGCAGCAACAGCAGCATCAACAGGAGCAATTACAACTGCAGCAACAACAACAAAAGCATCAACAGCAGCAACAACAACAGCAACGTCAAACGCAACAGCAACAACAGCAGCAATATCTTGGACATCTACAACAACAAGTGCAGCAGCAACTGGGAGGCGTAGTGCATTTACGGAAAAATCACAACATAAATTCATCAACACAGATTGACAATAGCCTGTCAGCTGGTCAGACAGAGGCGAAGGGGCTGCGGTTGCGGCAAAGGGGTTAGCTGGGGGCAGGAAACGCAGCCGGAGCTGTTGCTGGCAGCGTTAAACAAAAGACAAGCAGTCTAATAGCAACGCAAATGAAGTCCGACCGCACAGAGGCCATTGCCACACACAAGTACACACACTCATACACATGCACACACACCCGCACACACATACACCCGCACACACACAGCTGTTTGCATTGGCATTGCACGTTCCGTTTTACACTTGCATTGCTGAATGAATAACGCTCGGGGGTCTAAAGTCTTCTCTGGGATTATGGATACGTTATGATGTGTCCGTATAGTATAGAGCATGACAACGGCACAAGTAGTTTCCACTATATGCAGCATGGGTTGCCTCGAGCAGTACTTAAATCTGTCTGTATGTGTGCTTAAATTATGCTAAAGGAAGCAGCTAAAGAAAAAGTTTTGGCTCAGTTGGTTTTAATAAGACCTAGCCGAAATCAGGTAATAGAATGTGACTAGAAATTTAAGTTTTGTAAAGTTCTGCCAAAACATGAGTACAACTTAGCCTGAAGCAGTCTTTGGTATGATTTAGCCAGTTTTCTAATTTACAGGGTATTACAGCAACTATCACAAACTTTCTTTGAGTTCATCAATGAGTTTTTCAAATTACGTGCTATTATTGTTGCTGTTTTGCATATTCATTGCATTAAACCAGCATTTTTGAACGCAATTGATACCAACTTTCTTTATACTTCGTTCTTTTAGCTACTTTACTTACGTCTGCTGTTTCTAGTTCATTTGCAGAGTATTATATCATACACATACCATAGACTAGGTCTGCATTTTCTGCAACAATTTACAGGGTATAGGAGCTACAGTCATACGCTTTGCTTTGCCTCTGCACTCTCTTCAGTTGCTGACACTGTTGTCCATTTGCAGGACACCATTTTTTATAGCATTTTCGCCGCATTCATTGGCACAATTTATAGGGTATTTCAGCTGCAATCACATACTTACTTCACCAGCTTCATACTCTGTGTGCCCTCTAATTGCTGGAGGGGATTTTTCATGTTTAATGAATTTGTGATTGCTGGAAAAGCGAATTCCTTGTGCAGACAATTCCGTTTATTTGTGCATATAAATTCGAGCCACATGTATAAACTTGTCGATGCTGTTATATCAATAAATATGGAAGAGCTACCCATTTATAAATATACACGCAAAAAGAGGGAAAATGATTCATGATTCAATTTTGGTCAAAATGTGTGGGTGGCTGGACACAGCGAATAAGTGTGGGCAGCCAAAAAGCAACTGCGAAATAAATAATCTAAAACAAGTAAGAGTGCTCGAGCCGGGTGTGCCCGACTAACAGATACCGATTACTGGATACTCAGGGTCAAAATATGTCAGCAAGACGCAGGGCTCCAACTTTGAGGCTGAGTTTTCTTTCCATTCTGGGGGAAATGGTTTAAGGTATTGAAGGAGTGAAATATTCTAAAATTAAAGTTAAGTATATGTTAGGTATCCTCTTGTATATTTTACTCCTCTTAAAAGAAGCTTCAAAGCCATGTCCCAAAATCGATATTGGGAAAGTGAAAGGAGATACCATAACAAATATATAATTAAGTTTTCAAGTCTTGAGCTTTTGTGGTTGCTGAGTTTACACAGACAGGGAGACAGACAGACATGAGATGGCCAGATCGACTCAGCTCATCGTCCTGATGAAAAATAGATATACCTTACGAAGATGCTTCCTGCTGCCTGTTACAAACATTTGCAGCAAACCATTCGACCCTTTCTTACCAATATTCAAGGATTTCGGACATACAAAGAGGGTGAAAAAAATCAAATAATAATTATAGCTGTTATATAGCAATAATTAAAATCAGCCATGTTTGCCTTGGCTGCACTCACGACAATGAAAATTGTTTAAGAATGTCCATTGTAAAATAATTATAAAGAAGATTTAAGCGATTTCCACAACAGGCGGGGAAAAGCTGCTGTGTGTGTGTAAGTGTGTGAAAGTGGACAGCGAAATTCTTTCTATCAATTTGTTGTGCTTATTAGTGTTGTTGCTGTTGTTGTTGTTGCTGTTGTTTTGCACGTTATTTTTATAAAATTCACCTCAGAACGGCTGATCATCAAAGATGTTGCCGCTGGCCGAACGGTGAGAGCCAACATTCATTTTCATTTGCAGCACGCTCGCGAGTGGACGTGTCGCAGTTTCGCCCAGTCTCGATATATAGCACAGATATACATATATATAGAGTCCATATATATATATAGCATAGTAGAGTATAGTATATATAGTGCCTGTAGATCTTGCACCTGCCCGCGCTACGCGTAGTGCGTGCAACCGAAGGCAGGACGTGCGGTGTGCCACACGAATTTCTTGTGTTAAATTTTAACCTCGAGCCGAAACGTTTACAAGTTAGTTTTGCAAGTTAGTTGGATCGGCCAAATTGCTGGACGTACACAACGTGCCGCCGAGGCATGCGAATCAGTGTGCAAAAGTTATCAAAATTCAAATTATCAAATTGCAGAGCCGCGGCCCACAAGTGAGTGCATTATTGAATAAGCTGCAAAGCTGCGCTGATTATGTAAAACAAATACATATACATATATGCATACTTATATTGAAAACAAGTCCGACAAATAAGCTGAAAATGAAAATGTCACCTGGCCGTTGACAGCGGCCCCAACCCGCAACCCGCACCCCGCAGCCAACAACGTCAAGAGCTGTCAAAATTATTTTCATTTTCAATGCTGCTGCTCTGGTTGTTGTTGTTGTTGTTGCTGTTGTTGCTGTTGCTGCTTTTATTAACACATTTTAACATAATCACATTTAAGTATATACAAAAAGTAGCATTTTTATCATTTTATTTCTAATTTGAGTTGGTCTTTAGTTAGATTGCGCATACGCCGCGTTTTATTTTTAGTTTTATTCAATCAGCGACATTTTTACTCAGTTTTTTTTTCCCATTTTGTTGCTTTGCTTATTCGAAGCTTTTTTATAATTCTATTTTATGTTTGCCTTTCGCTCGGCGCTTTTTGGGGCTCGTTTATTAGTTTTACTTTGGCGCCCAGTTTTTATGGCACTTTATTTTCTATATAAATATCTTTGCGTACCTTTTGTTTTTTTTTTTGGTTTTTTTTTACTCACACCTGATTGTTTATATTGCGTATTTTGTTTGCCTTTAGCACAATTGATTTTTATCTGCAATTTCATTTTCATTGTTTGCGCGAACTGTAAAATAAATTAAAGCGATTAAATGCCATTTGGGCGGCGCGTAGATACAGTTTTTAGGGAAAAGCACTTTTGCATTTGGCTCGCTCCCGCCCAAAAGTATGCAACAGATTTCCATATACCACGAACTGACATTTGCTATAAGCCCACAATGGCCCGTGGTGCCACGCGGCGTATGCGTATTGGGCTCTGAAGTTCAAGGTTGCTCGCGCACAGCGTAATTGGAAAACAAAAGCGAACTGCATTTGCAAAATGATTGGGAATTGAATTAGCCGATAAATAGGAAACCTAAATGAATTTGATGTTTGATTAGATAAAAGCGAGAGAGAGAGCGAGAGAGAGAGGGAGGGAGAGAGAGAGCTGGCGAGCTACCTCCTTGAATAAGTGAATTGCAATTTGAAATGCAAAATTATTGGGAATTTAATTTAAAGCAAAAATAATTAAATGGAAAAACTATAATAGAGGGCGAGCTGTGCCTTATTCTGTTGAATTTAGAGATAAAATACATAATTAAAATTGATTTGAGGTTCGATTGAAGTGAGATAAAGTACTTAATTGTGGGCTTTGCCACATACAACACAAGTGAAATGCCTTTGCAATTTATTGGGAAACTTAAATTCACCTTAAGTTTTAGAAGACATAGAAAGATTTTCAAAAAGACTTGAGAATTTTGGGAAATTGTAATTAATATGGAATAAATCTGTTTGAATAATTGACAGTTGGAACTTAAATTCAGCTCAAAGATCAAAGAATTAAATTTTAAAAAAAATAAATAAAAATTCAGTTCAAGTTTCACAAGACATATTAAGCTATTTAACATGACTTGAAATAAATATAATACTTTAATATGGTATATATATGCTTGAATAATAAACAATCGGAATAACAAATATGTAAGCACGAAACTTAAATGCAATGCTCCACAAAGCTCCAGCAGCTTGAATGTAAAACCTTAATCGATAGCTGCTCACCTGAGCTTTGACTGCATGCATATTCATTATATATCGCTCACCTGCCGAGTAATCTCTTAGGCAACAATTAAGGCCCAGTTATTGTTGTTCTTTCAATAATATCTTGAGAACTTGTACACAAAACTCGGGCACTTCATTAAAATGGAATGCGTTCTGCTTCCAGCTGGCTGCAGCCCATCGGCGCTTTATTAAAAAACAATCCTTGAAGGATATTAAAATGTCGCAGTTGCAATTGCACGGCTGCAACTGCGACAGTCATATTGCAGCTCGTTAATTAAGCTCGACATTGTGCAATCATAATAGGAGAAATACCCATATCGCTTATCGCCAGGCTTGCAGCATTTGGCACCAAACTTGCTTTAAGCATTGTCAATATGCTGCAAATGCCCGTTGCTGCGGTTCTTTTGTGGAAATGCAATTAAAGGCCACCGTGTGGCCGCAGCCCATAACGATAATGAGCAGGTAAACAATAGCCCTCGGCTCATATGTCATTTTGTGTGGCATATTCCGTGCGGCGCCTGTAATGTAATATTCATTGCAACTGCGAAATTGATCAGCTTGGCATCGGCTATCGTTTACACCGCGCACCTTGATTGTGGCCAGAGTGCGGGCGGGGTTGATTGGTGGCGGGGGGGCTGCGGGGCTGCCTTGTTCGAATGCCAGCATACGTAACTAGTTGATTGGCAGCCAAAACTCAAGTGATTAATCATGCAATTTGGCATGCAGCATTGCTTTCAATGCTCAACTCTCATCTCTCCCTCTCTTACTCTCTTTTTCTCTCTGTCTCTCTCTCTTGCAGCCATCACAGTTAACAGCAGCGCAGCAGGGCCCCCTTAGGGGCGCCTCGGATACACAACAGGAACAGGAAGTCAAAGCCGAGCGAAAGTAACCCCAAAAAAGAAGCTGTAAGTACATAAGTATTTCATTTAAAGCTTTCAAATTCGGGCAAAAGTATCTTAAAATACATTTCCGTTCGCGTTTTGGCACGTATTTAATTGAGAAAATATATACATCATAAATAAGCCCTTAAACGGGCGGTTTCCTTTGGGTTTAGTTTCCGTCTAAAACAATATATTATTTTTTTTAGAATAAAGCCAAAGTAAAGCAAAAATTTAAAAATTAAATTAATTCACCAAATAAAAAAAGGTTTACTTTAAAAATAATAAATTTAATAAGTCTTTCTTTTTAAATGAAACTTTTGTCAATTTTTTTTTTTTTTGAAGATTTTGGAGCTTTATTTAATTGAAAAAATATATAATTAAAAAACAATATATATAATAGAAAATATTTTAATTGTCCCATACATATCTTGTTTGTTTGCATTTAATACACATTTTTGCATCTTCTTTTTAAATAAATTGTAAACAATGCATTTACTTTGAAAACTTTACCTCAATCAATTATTTAAATATACCGAAAACCCATTGCGGCTTTCTTTTGCATATATGAAAGCCAAACCTGAACAATTAGTTTGCTGCCATTAAATTGCAACTGGTTGGGTTTGTTTTAAGGATTTTTATTTCTCTGTAAAGTTTTTGCGTTCACTTTAGTTTGGCATTGCTTGAGATTCGCACGGAGTTCGCCTGCAGTCTGCGAAGTTTCAACTTGTGTCTGGCTTTTATTTATAGCCGGAGTATTCGCAGTTCTATCTTTAGGCACTTTTGCAGTCGCATGTTGAATTCTGGGCAAACGCATTGCGTATTTTTAGCGCCTGTCGCCCCGTTCCAAGGGTCTCTCTCCACTCACACACATGGATACGACCTTGAGCTGTGCTGCTGCCTGCTGCCTGCTGTCTTCGCCTTTTGCCTTTGTTCGCCTCGGGCTCGACAAGCGCCACATGGCAAGCAGCAGCTAATGGACCCCATGGCGTGTTATTTGCTATGCGCCTTTGTTTGCCCGAGCCGCGTGAATAAGGAAAATTCGGGAGAAATTCACGGAAAATTCGCAGCATCATGGCAATGCAATTGGGACATTTCCGACATGGCCGACATGGTAATACAACTGAAATTTTAGCCAAAGTATCTATAAGTTGTTACAACTAGGGCGTAATTCAAATAGCCCAATGTGCGTTCCAGTTTTCAATGGAGTTTATTTTTAGGCTTTACAGCGGCCCAAAAAGAAACACACACACACACTCACACAGAGATTTAGATACTTTAGATGCGAACGGAAAATGCCGGCAGCTTTATTAATAGTCAGTCATTTGGTGACGTCAACGGATGCTCTGAGAGAGAGCGAGAGAGCGAGCGAGAGAGAGAGAGACATACACTCTCAGCTTGCGTGTGTGTGTTAGGCAAATTACTTTGCTGTGGGCTGCAATTAGCAGCGCTTTCTTGTGGCCTGAAGTCAAAACAAACAATGTGAAAACTTCATTTCAATTCACACACGTGCAACAAATGTAACTCATTAATGAGCTGCTGCGCATAGCCATAGATACAATGCATAGATACAAAACCAACACAAGCGCACACACACACACACATGCACACACACACACAGCGCGACGTTGCCAAGAATATCTTTTTGCGTTCGTATTTCGATCGCGCGTTTGTTTGTTTGTATCTCGACATCGCTGCGCTCTATATGCATATATGTATATATAGACACACAAGCGCACACACACACACACACATATACACACACGCAGCGTTGATTTGTATATATTTAAAATATTATACAGTGTTGTTGTTTTATTTTGTTCGTCTGTTGTTTTTCGCTTTTATGCCGTTGCTTCATGTGCTTGGCAATTTTCACTTGCCTTCAGTCGGTTCTTACATTTCCAATCGAATTCTACGAGACGCGTTGCAAAAACTAGCAGCGCTTTAATTTAAATTTAATCTAAAATACAAATATAGTATAGCAGAAATTTAATTGCAATAAATTTACATATATAAACGCAATATATGTTCAACTAGTTAATGTGTACGAAAGAATATCTTTAAGATATTGCCAAAGTATCTTAAGTTTTCGATATTGGAAAATTGAAAATTTCCGTAAATTTCAATTAAATTAATCAACGTGCGGAAAATCGTTTATATTTACCGTAAAGTGCGTGCAAAGTTTCTTTGTCTAGTCGAGTTTCAAACCAATTGCATTTTATGATTGCCTCTGAGTGCCGCTTTCACACAGCAGCAGCAGCCACATTTTCCTTTATCTATTGGTGAGTTTTTCTTTTTATGTTTTTTTCTATCTGCGGTTTTGCGTTTCGCTGGCCCTGCCAACTATGTGACCCAAATTGCGAGCTGCAATTCAGTTCCATGTTGTTGCTGCGTTTTGCGCTTTTCTGACAGGCAATCGCGGCAGATCTATCAACTAGCCGTCGATTTTTGTCACTTTGGACAGCTGGCGAAAAGTTTTTGACCCATTTAAGCATTGATGAATGGCCAAATTGGAAACGCATTGAAGCAGCCAGAGCTGAAGCTGGCAAGCGTCCAGGGTCAACAGCTCTCTGGCTTTGGCTGTGGCAAGTCTTTGAACTCATTTGTAATGAACTCAAAATGTACGCATTTCCGTTTCCGCTAGCCATGCTAGCCATCAGCCAGCCGCTTGTCACATAATTGGCTAATTATATGCACCAAGGCTAATGCCTTTTCTATATCTGTGCATATAGTCTATGTGTATCTGTGGCTAAAGAAAAACAAAACATTGAGCAACTGTCCCCATCAATCTTGGCGTGCGAATAAACAAAGAATACAAAAAATAACATTGCGCTAAGAACGCTGACGAAATAAATAATAAATATTACTTTTAAGTGAATAGAGCCCACAAATGATTTGTATTTTTTAGTTTAATATTTCAAGACTACTCGAAACCTTCAGAAATGTGTGATGGAATCATAATGAGCGCTGTTTTTGTAATAAAACAGGGTATATTTCCAGCTGTTCTTTTTATCTCTGTCTCTCTGCAAATTTGTATCGATCTGGCGTACAGATTCTATAGTTTCTATAGACTAGGAGCATGCAGTAGATTTTCATTGCCCTTTCTATGCCCTTGTAAAATGGTATTATAATTTAGTTAAATGTGTAATGTGTAATGCAGAGAAGAAGAATTCTTCAAACCCATAAAGCATATATGTATATTCTTGAAGAACAACCGATTCTTAGATACCATAGGGATTTAATATTCTTGAATAACAAACAATTTTTAAACAATATTCTTAATCTTAATTACATTAATTCTTAATCAACAACCGATTCGATATGGTAAAGTTCGTCTTTAGTCTCACATTTGATTGTTCCATGTGTAATATCGGCTGGATCATATAGGAATTATGTTCTTGCATGAAATAGTTCTTTCTTTTCAAGATATCTTAACCGAAATTGGCAATAACGAGTTTTATCATGCTCTGTATAGGTCCTATAGGTCCTCTGTAAGGGTCCTATCAACACCTGAGTACTCTATCATAAGCTCCATCGGAAGAATTGTTCGTAAAATAAGTCTTTGTATGGAAAACTCAGGAATAACGAGCTTTATTATGCTCCTCATATATCTGCTAGACCACCAAATATATACCCTCTATTTTGTTTTTCTGCCTCTGAATTTCCAATTGTAGCCCCGCCCCTTAAGCCCGTCAATATAGCCTCCTTTCCAGCCATAATACTTAATGTCTCTTTTAATTTAGAAACATATATATTTTGGTCTTCATGTGCCGCACAGATTCTATAGTCAGCCATAAAAACCCGTCGAATGTTTAAGTTTTTATTGAGTTCGGTTTTCTGCATATATGTTTTTAATGTATTTATTTATGGAATTGTAAAATTAAAGCACTGTCCATTGCAGTCAGCGACATAAACACACGCTTAAATTACTCGCCCATGCCACGCCCCCCGTCCCGTTGAGTGCTGCCCACAAAGAGTTGGCGCTTTCAATGGCCATTCAAATTGTGCATTGAATGTGCTCTGAAGTGTTGGCCCGGCATACGCCCAGCTCTTTAGCAACCGGCCAAATTCAACTAAGAACGTTGAGTGAGATGGGCATGGTCAGGGGTGAGGGGTGTGTGGCGAGCGGTTTTTAGTGGTTTTTGATGGGGGGGGGGGGGGTTCGTTTTTAAAGGCAGTTTCTATTATGCGAGCGCATGCCTTTCATTTGAATCCTTTCGTCGCCAATTCAGCGATGCAATTGCAGAATTAGTTTCGTTTGCCACACATGTCGCAGCCACGCCCACTTGCAAAATGTACCCCTGCACCCCGCCACCCCGCATCCCCTTCACCCTTATCTCACTTTATAGCACGCACAATTTGAGCGGGCGACAAAATTTCTATTCAATTTGATTTTAAGCGTATTTTCCACTTAATTGCACGCCACTCGCATCAGTTTTCTCTTCTCATTTTTTTTTTTTTTTGTTGAGCAGCAACTGTGGGCGTGTCGGGGGCGTGTTGCATACAATGTGAACTTTTGGCCGCATTTAAGCAACGCTTTAAATATTTTCACACAATAATTGCCAACAGGCGCGCACGACGACAATTTGTGGTGCACCTCGATGTTTATTTATTGGTGTGCAGGAAGAGGCGTTTGCACGGGGCGTGGCAGCAGCCCGTTTGCCTGTTTTGCCCGAGTGCGCTGACGTGGCGTATACGTAATATATAGGCGACTGCACGAGAAATTGCATTTATTTATATAGTAGTGTATATGTGGCATAGAGCGAAATATTTTTGGGCATCATGGGAAAATCTGTGTCATTTTTATTATTAAAAGTTGCGCATTTTGCAGCTTATTTTCGCTTGAAATGAGAATTTCAACGGGCCGGCAGCAGCTGCCAGAAATTACTTTAGACCCATGCGAAATCCTAGCGCAATTTCAAGCAGAGCTCAACTGGGACTTGCATTTAAGTTGAAGTAAAATATTGTGTTTGGAAAAGATTCAAAAGGATGTGCGGGAAGTAAATAAATCATATCACTTACTTGTATTGCATACCCTGTGAGCGAACAGTACGTAGGGTATGATGTATTTAAAGACTTTGATGAATGTAAATAACTAAAGCAGATATTTGTGAATCTATTTTCTAGGGTAAGCATCTCAGTTGAGTACTATAAATATGTCTTTAAGTAATCGTAAGGCTGTGAAGACTAAGAGTTGTAATTAATATATTTCCCATCTCATTTGTTTATATTTGCATTTTATCTATATTTATTTACGACTTAAGCTTCTTCGATTAGCTATAAAATGTCTTTGGGCCAGTTACTTGAGCTATCAAATAAAATAAACATATGCCGGCCAATATTTGCGGCCAGTTTCGATTGGCCTCTAGTGGCAGGTAAGCAATTTTTGTGGCAAGTCGAGTGTACTTGGGTGTTTAGCACTCAAGTGTGCTCACAATTAAGGCTGAGTTATTGCCAATCAGGCTGCAGCATGTGTATATATACTGCGCCCATACCCTGCAAACTGCGACTGCTACTGCCGGGCATGTGGGTTGTTGTTGTTGTTTTGTGTGTGAGCCGTATTGAGTTCTTTGAAATAAACCGCTTTTAATGAAGCCAGCCATAAGCAGATTTGTGGCTTAGAATATTTGGCAAGGCCCGCAGTGACTGGCTGCCCGACGGGCGCCCCGCGATTTACGACAATGGCGCAGAAATGGTCAATTTACGTTGATGCCTGAGACTTTGGTTCTTTTTTTTTTTTTGATTTTATTTTCCTTTTTGCTTATTCAAATGTGAGGGCTCGTAATGTAGCAATCCGATTTGGGGGCATCTTATGATGAGCTTAACGGCAGGAGGTATACGCGAATTTATAATGATATGAATATCAAATTGGCAGGACTTTGTCTCTGTTGCCATCTAATCAAATCAAGTCTAATAATGTCTGATTGCGTTTACTCACCCACGCCCCTCTCTCTATCTCTCGTTTACTTGCAGTGAGCCATGGAGCAATTCGAACAGTTGTTGACGTGCTGCGTGTGCCTGGACAGGTATCGCATACCGAAGCTGCTGCCATGCCAGCACTCTTTCTGCATGGAGCCCTGCATGGAGGGCCTGGTCGACTATGTGCGCCGTCAGGTAAGATTATTTGTCACATGTACACAAAAGCCCATAAATCATAATCACAGTCGAATGCATAAGCCAAAAGTGTGCGCGTGTGTGTGAGTGTGGGTGTGTGTCTAAGGCAATTTTGTTAAATGCGGCGTATTTATTCAGCGACTACGTCACATGCCAAAAGCTGCTTAATAAATCGCTCGGCGAAAGCCGCCGACGAACAAGAAATCGCATCGCGGCAAATGAAAACAACATTTTCTGTGTCCAAAAGGCAAACTCAACATTGTGGAAATGAGTTGAGTTTTGTTTTTTTTTTGTTTTTCCTCTACGTAATTTTTCCTTGTTTCTTGAATTTTTTTTTTTTGTTAGTAAATTTTCTTTGCTTGCTTGCGGCGCATTTGCGTCGATTTTTGTTGTGTGCTGTTGAAAAATTATAAAATTTACATATAAAGCAGGCATACTTATCTATATGTTTGTATATACATATAATGGATATGTGTCTACTGCGCTACTTATAGACGCCTGTCGTGTGCGTGTGTGTGTGTGTGCGTATATTTATAAAATTTATTTTGGCTTTGCGCCAGCGCCACGCAAATAATTGGTAAGCCTGTCCATTGTGTGCCATAAACTGGCTGGCCAAATAGGCGTACTGCCAAAAAAAAGAGTAAAGGGAAAAACCCGCAACTTTACCAATAACTGTCTTTTAACCAGCCAGGCCCCAAAGATTTGCCAACACTTTGGGGCAGGGTCAAAAATAAAAGTGAGACAGAAATCAAGCTGGCACACGCTCAAGATGCCCGCACTGCAAAGTAACATAAACTGTGTGCGGGTTTTTAAAGCGTGTTACAAAATTGATATATCACACATCAAAAAATCGCTATAAATCCGTGTGGATATCTTTATATAAATATATAGCTATATTAACCGTCGAACGTGTAAAACGCGCATTGACTGCATCGTTTGATGGGGGAAGTAATTGCCTTTACTCACGTCTGATTGCACTTGCAGGTCAAATGTCCCGAGTGTCGTGCCGAACATCGTATACCCTACAATGGCGTCCAGGCATTTCCCACGAATGTCACGCTGCAGCGTTTTCTGGAGCTGCACATCGAAATTACAGGCGAACTGCCCGATCCCACCTCAGGTAAGTCCAACCCCCAGCCACGCCCCCCTTCCAAGTAAATCAATTCAAAGGCCAAAAGCGTTTCATTGGCATTTTATTATTCGCATTTTTTGACTCCAAAGCGTATCTCGTTCGTCTGTCCGGCCCGTCCTTGTGTCTGTGTGTCCATCTATCACAAATTAAAATTGTTGTGCATTCGCAAATGAAAATTGCAATTTGCAATTTGCCATCGAAATTGCTTACGCTGCGTTGATTTTCATTCAAAAAAAATAGAAAAAAAGAGAAAAAAAAATAAAATATTTACAACAAAAATGGCAAAAATATTTTTGCAATATCTTGTGGAAAAAGCGCTTTGATAATTTGGCTACTCGAATTGTCGAAAAATGTTGTTAATAAATTTTTGCAATGTCTAAACTTTAATTAAATTCCTTATATATCACCAAAAAGGGTGTTAAAACACATGGCGCATAAAAAGCAAATGCCATGGCCATAATATTTGGTTTCCAATTAAAAATCTGGCGCTTTGTGTGTTTTACAAATCAGCCACAACCTACTCCAGATATCCGTGCAGCCATCCACCCACCGCCCGCCCACCGCACGCCCAACGGCCGCAATTAAAACTAAGCAAAATCAAATTGATTTCGGTTCATTTTTTGTGTGTGTTGAATTTTCGCTCGTAATACCCTAACAGAGTGTAGTATAAATGGGTCATGAAATGTGCATAGAACAAGCTGTCTGCGTACGCGTTATATATATATTCTTGATCCATATAGACAGCCAAGTCGATAGAGGCATGTACGTCTATCTTCTTCTGTTATATCTTACCTTTACCTTTATCATATATGTAGGTCTATAGGTAGAATCGAGAAAAGTAGATTGCATGGAAAACTTTTCTCTTTTTCAAAAGATCTCCATCTAGTTCAGCAACTACGAGTCGTAGGCCGTAAGCTATATGTCCACAAGGGCATTTAATCGTCGGCGTGCCGTGTATATTGACTTCCTTTCTTGTTTTTAAATAATTTGCATTGTGGACCATACTGCGGTATCAGGTTGTAACCATGACTATGCAAATAACTTGAAACTTGATAGTCGCAGCAAATTGCAAAGGACAAACACAACCGACAATCGACAAGAGACAAGAGACAACTGACAACCGGCAACCGACACTCATCAGCAAATGCAAATAAGTGTCGAAGGAATGTGCGATGAGTGTTCCGTTTATTATGAGTGCTTTTGAGTGCTTTGAGTGCTTTGAGTGTATTCATATAGCTGCAATCAGCATCAGGCAGTTAATAAGCAGACAAAGCATCGAGTATTTTTTGACAATTCTCAACAATTTTTGACAATTGCTATGCAAATGTGTGCTTGTCTCAGAGACAAAGGGCAAAAGTTGCTTCTGCTGAATTTTTGGGGCGAAATCCCTTTCAAGCCGCGCTGTTATGGATAACTGGATGCGATGATACAAGGACTCGCATTCTCATGTAGTATTTGCAAATTCACTTTTCCATATGATTACACAAGAAAATACAGCCAACTATTGGCGCAGAGCAAGCATACCCTTTTTCTTTTTTGCTTTCTTCTTACCCCAGAGAGACACCCTAACCAAGCACCCTACGCTGTGTGTTTGTGTGTGTGTGTGTGTGTGTTTGGTAAGTTTATTGTCATGCCCAGCGGAGTGAGCGAGGCCGCAGAGATTGGTAGCCGAGGCGAGTTCATCAGGCAATGGCAATGCCAATGGTTATGCCTGTGATTCGGGTGGCGTTGCGGCATAGTTGATGGAATCGAGCGGCTAGAGGGAAATGTTGTGGAGGGCATCCTGCCAGCAATTGATGCAGAAAAGTTTACTTTCCTCGCACTGCCACCGTGACTGCGATTGCGATTGCGACTGCGACTCGTGACTGTGACTGGGAAACTGTGAAATGTTTGCATTGTTGCTCGTTGACTGCAGGAGCGGCTTGTACAGGGAGGTAAGGAGGGGGGCGTCAGCTCGTTATTTGCATTTTGTATAGCCAAGACATTGGCATGCTCCGGCCAGGATGTGCCTTGGCAGTGACAACACATAAACATCTAGAGCACATAGAGCAGAGCATTTAGGTGCAGTTGATTTCCAGCATTTGGCGACACTCTTCAAATCGCATTAGTCCCGACCAGCAGCAGCAGTAGCAACAGTAGCAACAGTAGCTGCAGCAGCAGCCCTAGTCAAACCCAAAGCAGTTGGCATGTTATGCGCTTTTAAGTGCAATCGCAGTCTCTGATACAAGACGCAGTCGCTGCCTTGTTGCCAGCCAACAGTGCAAATTGATGGCTTGGCGGCCTGTCGCCGCCGCTGCTCCTACTGCTGCTTCTCCTACTGCTACTGCAACAGCTACTGCCACTTGGCATTTGATTGTCGAGTTTTACAACTGGAATAGCGACAAGTCGGTGCATGCTTAACATTACTCTGTATATATTTTTAAGGGGGGGGCTGTTGAAAAATTCGACAATGCTAAACAAGTTGGAAAACGGAATGCGATTTGTTTGAACGTGCTGGAGAACAAGTGGAATTTAAATTGTTAAACAACTGCTCTGACACAGCTGACACTTTTGTAGCCCACATGAAACGTTTTGGAATCGGAATTTGATCATGTTCGTGTCATTCTGCTCATTGGGCACTGTTAGGTTGTGCTTGCAATGAAATGAAATGTTTTTGTGGCGAGCTCTTTTAGGATCTCAAATGCTGAAACGCCGGGCTACTGTTCCAATTCAACTGTTCCAGCTAAAGTTCACGGTTGTAAATTTATTTAACGCTATGAAGTGAAGCTAATAAGCTTTATTACTTTAACCCCTTGCTACTGCTCCGTTCCCATTGTTTCAGCTGAAGTTAAGTTAAAACAATGAAGCTTTGTTCCATTCCGACTGTTGCAGTCCACATTACTTAGGTTAACACTGGAAACCTTACAAGCAGTTTTATTAGTGAAAATTTGATAGCAGCTCGATTAAAGTAAGCTGTTGGCACTGTTCCAGTTCCAATACACTGGAAACTAAATGAAACGCTTTGGTACTGCAAATTTGAAATATATCGTTTTAGTAGCGCCTTGATGATGTCTCATTTCCATTGTTCCATTTTACTTAGGTCAAATAATGGAGCGCTGCGGCGTTTGCTCCGAGAAAGCCTATCTATCCCACTGTGCCCACTGCGAGAAGAAGATCTGCGAGGACTGCAAGAGCGCACACATGGACATTTTGCGACGCGAGATAACCCGCTTCAACTCACAGGTGAGCCGCCACTTGGTTTGGCAATCTGAGAACTTTTTTGAGCTAATTTCTCGCCTTTGCAGATTCGTCGCAGCTTGCATAGACTGCAGGACTCGCTGGCCATCATCGAGAAGAACACGACCAGCCTGCAGACGAACGCGGTTAGCGTGACGGAAGAGATCGATGAGATCTATCGGCGCATAACCAAGGCCATTAAGGACAGATCGGATGGCTTGAAGGGCGAAATTGATCGCTATTTGGCCGTGGAGCTGCGCAATCTGACAACGCTCAAGGAGAATCTGGACTTGGAGATCACGAACATTAACAGCAACTGCGACATTGTCGACAAGTACATGAACGAGACCGTCGAATGGGATGACTGCGAACTGATGGACACCAAGGAGATCTTCCTGAAGACCGTCGAGTTTCTGCGCCACTTTGAGTACGAGAACAACGATTACAGTCGCCGTGTGCGCTTCCTCGTCTCCATAGATCCCAATCAGCTGGTAATGAATCTGGCCACATTTGGAGATTTGAACATTGCGCCGCACTCGACGCCAAGCGGCTCGGTGAGCAGCTCGCATCTGGCGCCGCCCAGCGCACTGCAGCCCGGCCTGATGCGCTCTAAGAGCGACCATCGTCTGGCCACGCAGTTCCGCCAGCAGGAGGAGCGCAGCGGCTACAACGATGAGCCCGTGCTCGGCGGCCGCAAGTTCGGCGAGCGACCACAGCGCAGCGCCAACAACAACAACAGCAGCAACAACAGCGACAGGTACGGCGACAATCGCTATGGACGCTCCGAGTACGATTACGACAACGATTACGAGAACGAGCCGGCGGGTCGAGCCGCCAAATCGTCGCGCTTCCGTTCGCGCTTCGTGCGCTCCCACCAGAACGAGGACTCGGACAGCGAGCAGCAGCAGCAACAGCGCCAGCAGGAGCTCGACAAGCGCAAGGAACGCGTCCTGGACAGCGAGGATGTGTCGCGCGGCCAGCTGAGCGGCATCATACGGCTCAGCGACTGTCAGCGTGTCGTACAGCGCTTGGCGGACATTGGCAAGGAGAAGAAGGAGAAGAAATCGGATGCAGCGGTCGCTGCTCAGGCGGCCGTTCAGGCAGCCATCCAAACGCAAAAGGCGGCCATGCAGCGCCAACAGCAGAAGAACCAGCAAACAGCAGCCGCAGCCATCGACGAGGATGAGCTGGCGCGCCAGAAGCGCAAGAGTGCAGCAGCAGTTGCATCAGGTGCAGCCACCTCAACAGCAGCCAGCGGCGACTCCAGCAGCGAGCAGCGGCCCAACACAGAGCGTGTGGCCGCACTTAGGCGTGGCGGCCAGGGCGCCAGCGAGGAGAGCGACAGCAGCAGCAACAATCAGACGGCGGCAGCGGCGTCATCTCCAGTGCGTACAGCGACAGCGTCGACAGCGCGAGCCGAGGTAAGTGTGAATGAGACAAATGAAGAAGAAGGCGTGGCCGGTGACAACAGTGGCAGCAGCGAAACGGAGAGTGAAGGAAGTGAGAGCGAGGCGGAGGCGGAGGCGGAGGAGGAAGAGCAGCAGCAGCAGCAGTTGGCGCAGGCGCCCGCTGAGGATCTAGTGGATAACGATTCCAGCTCCGAGTATGAATACGAGGAGGTGACAGCCAGTGAGAGTGAGGGAGAGCGGGAGGGGGAGAGCGCGCCAGCGCCAGTGATAAATGTGGTGCCGCCAGAGACTGAGCTGGCGGACAAGGCGCCAGAGCATAAGCGCATTGCTGAGCTAATTAGCGATAGGCATATGGAGCAAGATGCAGAAGAGGACGAAGAGGAGGCGACTGAAGAAGAGTTAACCGAGGAGGAAAGCGAGTCCGAGGCAGAGGCAGAGACAGCAGCAGCAGCTGCTGAGCCAGCTGAGGAGAATGATGGGGAAGATGAGGAAGAGGAGGAGGAGGAGTATGAAACGGATGGTGATCAGGCAGAGAACTAGATAGAGAGTCGCCCTCTCACGCCGCTAGCTGCCACTTTGTCACTTTGTCTCCCCGGCGGGGGGTCGGGCTGGGCTGCTGCACAGTATTCTGTATTAAATATGTATACGCCATGTTTGCCGAGTGTTTGTTTGTCCAAACTCTTCTTTATTTGTGTTCAGTGTTCACACTTTCCCCCGCTCCGTAAGTCTGTTATATTTTGTATATGAACAAAAAAACAACAACAAAAACAAAAATTACTTACTGTTAACCGTTAACTATTTACCTGTTACCTGTTTACCTGTTACCTGTTTACCTTTGACCTTTGACCTTTTTACCTTTTTTATGTTTTGAACGCTAACAAAATGCCAAAATGAATTGTTTTTGTTTTTTATGTGTTAAGCTAAGTTTCATTTATTTGCGTTTACCTCATTCATGGTTCTGTCTTGTGGAGCGCCTTTCATTTTAATGCTGTTTTGGGTCCAACCTTTTCGACAATCAGCACCTAATCGACTACTAAAAATGCTTGCCGAAAATTCGGGAATTTTCCTTTTTGAGCAAAAGCTACAAATCATTGCTGAAAGTTTCGACCCAAGGCAGGGACATCAGAAATTATGAATTGTACAAAAAAATACTTTTGATTTCATAGTAATTTAACATCTATTACCTTGTCGTTTAATGCTTAGTTAGAGACTGCAAAAAAAGAGTTACAAATAAAACACAGTTTTTTATGTGAAACAAGAAAAAAAAACAAACGATTTCTCGAGTAATTTCTGTTATGTTTATTTTGCATATCCGTTTCTCTCTCTCTGTATATCTCTCTCTCTCTCTCTCTATCTTTCTGTTTTTTGCAAGTGGACAAACGATGTGGTAGTGATGTTAATTTGCTTAAACCTAACTAAATATCTCTATACGTTTTTGGGCGGCAACAAAAACAGCTAAAAAAAAAACCCGCCAAAACCGCAGAAAAAAAACCCCAAACAAATGACATTTCTCTTGCTATCAGTTTTCTTTTATTTTTTATACACTTTTTATTTTTATTTTTTCGATTTTCATTGTCACAAATTTCTGATGTCCGTTGTATATATTTGCTGTTGTGCGTGTGTATGAGTGTGCGTGTGTGCGTGTGTATTCCACTCTTTCGCCTACAGCCTGCACATTACATTGTTACCCCAGCTCGTGGCAAGTTCAATGGGAGCATTTCATCATGACTGTCAACGTGGCTGCTTCCGTCAGTTTAACAACGTATTCATTTTCCATTTTCCGCGTGTGTGTGTGTGTGCGTGCGAGAGTATCCGTGTGTGTGTGTGTGACATATGCGCACCACTCGCTGCATATTTGTCTTGTTTTGTTAACAAGTATTTTTGGCATTTTTGTGCACATGGAAATTGAAAAGGTCGTTCGATACATTTCGGAAATATCAATAAACAAAAAAAGCAATAAAGTTTAGAAAATATAAAAGAAATTTTACTCATGCAGCGCCATCTACCGGTTCCAATTGGGTAACTTAGCCATTCAGGCACACATTCAAAGACTCATAATCAATTTCGTCAGAATCGACTCAGCTGGAGGAGCAGAAATAAGCCGGCATTGCTCGGGTTTTCCCGAATTTTCTTTTTCATTAACAACAAATAGATAAATAAACAAATAAATAGAAAAATACATCTTTAAAGAGGATATCTCCTTAGACGAAAAGCTTCTTAGTTCAATAATATTTTAGTAAACTTTAAAATGTGTCCGCTTGCTAGTTATTTTTGATATTTTGCAAATGTTTCGAACTGACCTCGCAAAAAGATACCTAAAGTTAACTATGACAAACGCTTGTGGTGTGCGTCAAACGCGGTGTGTGCCTGACTTTGACATTTGCCTAGCCCCACTGACAATCCCAATCCCACTGCCAGTCCCAGTTCCAGTCCCATTCCCTGGCTCCAGTTCCTGGCTCCATGCCAACCCCTGCCGCAACGTCTGCTACTGCCCACGCATCGTTGTCACTTGCACATGTCCATCCATCCATATGCATATCGATATCTTTCTCTCTACTTGCATTTCGTTTCGTTTGCTCGCTTGCAACCCAAACAACAACAACAACAACAACTAACAGGCTGACAGCGCCACAGACTCTGATGCAACTCCCACTCCTACCCAACAGTCCAAACCGGCCGTGTCCGCCCAGGTGGCCGCTGTGAAGAAGACGCAGCGCTCCGGCAGCAGCGACAGCAGCGCCTCCACTGAAAGCTCAGCCAGCTCTGCGGCAGCCGCAGCAGCTGCAGCCAACGCAGCGCCCAGCAGCAGCAGCAGCAATGCCCAGCCCAAGGCGGCCAGCACAGCGCGGTACTCCACGACGCGTGAGAGCACGGTAACGGCCACGCCCGAGAAGAAGCCCTTTGTGAGCCGCTTCCTGCCGCAGCACAGCAATCCGAGCAATGCCAACGGTGCCGCGGACAAGAAGAAGGCCGAGTCGGAGTCGAGCAGCGAGGAGGAGACCAGCTCCGAATCGGAATCCGAGTCGGAGGCAGAGAGCAAGCCCAAAACGAGCACCGCGACCAGCAGCAGCAGCGCTGCCAAATCGACGCCCAGCAGCGCGGCCAGCTCCACAACGGCGGCCCCATCGGCGGGCAGCTCCTATCGGGATCGCTTGGAGGCGAGACGCGCCTCGCGTGACGACACCGCCGCCATGACGCGCAGCAGCTATGCCACGCCCAACTCGAGCAGCAGCGGCTACGGCAGCAGCAGCTCGCCGCGCACACGTCCCGTGCCGGCGGCCCATCACCTGGCCGAGACCGAGGATCGCTATGGCAGCGGCAGCGGCAGCAGCAGCAGGTATTTCCATCCGTATTTCCAAGCTAAACGATTCAATAGATGCTTTTTACGACTAATCTTTGCATGGGTCATGGAATGTAGCTAACGATAAACTTTTGCTATTGATTTTGGCTTTTAATTATAAAACATGCACAACACATACGTATACACACACACACACACACACACATGCAACATTTAATTAATAATGATATATGCGAGTTTGATAAAATAAATTAACTGTCAGTTGCTTTTTATGTACCCTTGCAGAGGATATGCATAATTCGTGAGGCATTTCGCACTATCGTAGTTTACAATGGGCATATTATTTTTCTGATCAGATATAGATCAGATATATAATATGTTGATCTTTCAGTACTATAGAGAGTTACCGGCAATATAATATATTATATTAATTTATATTAACAAAATATAGTTCCATCACTTTTAAATGATTGCCTGACTTACTGCTAGATTTACCAAGTGACTGGCTGAGTGACTGACTGACTAATTAACTGAAAGACTGACTGACTAATTAACTGAAAGATTGATTGACTGACTGGTTCACTTACTGTCTGCTTGACTGATTGATGACTGCTCGCTAGGTCGGCGATTCCGAAAATTCCGCCCGCAAATGTGGAAAATTCATGGAAAAATCATTAACTTGTATTTCTTGTTAACCCTTCAATTTACAAAGATGCTTGTGAGAATTCATTAGAAACATATTGCGGCAAATTGCCCTCAAAAGATAGAAGAGTCGTGTGGTGGGGGGAGGGGGGGGAGGTCACAGAATTGATTTGAGAGTTTAAAGTAAAATGGGAAAATATTAATTAAAAAGTAAGGAAAAATAGCTAGCTATGCTATATAATTTATTTATATTCTTCTGCTTGCTTCTTCTACTCAAACTATTTCAGTCCTTAGGTAACAATTATATAGTTCTATATTCACAAAGCAACAATCCAATAAGACATAAACCTGTTCTATTCTCCTGCAAAATTTCAGATTTAAACATGGCTGCAAGGGTATTTAATATTCGGCCTGCCGAATATCACATTTCTATTCACTTAATACAAAAATATACATATGTTTTTTTGGATTTTTGTTTATCCAATGCATTAATCAAATTACAGCTTACACATAATAACAAAGTGCGTGCGATTAATTTACATTTTTAATTAGTGGCCCTACGCATACACACACACACTCGCACTCTCGCTATTCAATAGTATAATGCCAAAAATAATTGTCATTAAATTGATATGCACCATAAATTTAATTGATTTCTATTCATGCAGATATTCAATATGCCATTGCAGTTCAATTGTTTTTGTTATTGTTATTGTTGTTTTTGTGTATTGAGCGTGCGTACATTGTAGATGTGATTTCTCTCTGCTGCAGCTTTGTACAACTGCGTCACATTGGCATTAGCATCGCAGTGGCCATTTTGTTGCTCATACGCCTCGTGTGGCGTTTAATAGTCAAGTTCATAACCTTTACATAAAATGTCGTCAGCTGCCACTGCCACAGCCTCAGCCACAGCCACAGCCAGCTCTAGGTAAAACATGCGCGTAGCTAAATAAAAAAATAAAAAACCATCCCTACCCCCCCACCTATCTACCCCCTCTCTATATGTATGTCACTGACTGTATCTGTATTTGTATCTGTATCTGTGTTCGTCTTTGCAGCGCACTGCCCTTTAGCATACCGTACATAAGTAGACCCTACCGGGCGCGCTACCGAAAGCGACTTGCGGATGTTTTGCGTGAAATTAAATAAATACCCTAGATGCAGTTGTAATACCTGCCCCGCTCCCCCCTCGATGTGCTGTTGTACAAGAGAATTAAATGTGCAACTGCATTCGCAATCATAAATTGTCGTTGTTTTTTTTTTTTTGTTGTTTATTTCACTGCGCACACAGTCAGCCATTAAATCATTGCTCAGTTGGGCATTCATTAAAAGCATTTTGCAGTTAACAAACTAAAAAACACGCCTCAGACAAATTTGCACAAGTTGGCTTCTTACTAAGTTTTTTTTCTTTCCTTTGTCTTGCCATCAAAAGTCAAACAATGACAAGCTCTAATAGCATCAGAGGTTAAAGGGCTTAACCCAAGTTGGCTTTGCACTTTCTTGAGCAACATTCGTTATTTTCAAAGTGCATAGTTGCCGAAGTAGTTTAATATATGACAACATTTCTAAATTCAGGTAACTTCCGAGATTCGAACCAGCGTCTTTTTGTCACCTCTATCTATAACTAGATTTGCAGCAGTCCCATAAATCTTTGTCAGCATTCAATGAACAGCACTCAGATTTCCATTTCCATGCCAGAAGATGTTTTACAAATGTCAAACGTGCACATTCCGACAGGAGTTGACGTCAAGGGGTTAAATAGGGACAGAGCCAACTAGAACTTGAAATAAGTTGACGCAGATGCCGCTTGGCTGCTGCTGCTGCTGCTAGTGGTTGGTGGTTGTGAAAGAGCCACTCAGTGGCTCGAAAGCAGCTTCAATTCAATTCACAGCAATTTTCAATGACCTTTCGGGGCCACACACACACATACAAGCAAAAAAGGGTTCGTTGTCATTGTGTGTGTGTGCGAACGTTCTTTAATTTATTTTATTGACAATAATATTGAATATTGAATCCTTTGGTCAGCTTTGAGGGCGCACACACAGCTTGCGTAATGTAATTAAAACTTGAGGCCAACGGCGGTATTTTCTCCTTCTTTTTTTTGATTGACAGCAAATTGTACAGCTGCTGAAAAAGCGACAGATAGTACAGGCAGTTTTTTAGTCATTGTTTTTAAATGTATTCAGCTGACGCACAATAAAATATGTATTTATGAGCATAAAGCATGCTTTTTTTTCGGCAGCTTTACTTTTCCTGCTTGCCTTTGATTGCTGTTGCAGCAGTAAATTTTTTTTATATTTTCAACTTGTAAACAAGTGCAAAGCAATTAACGTACTCAAACATGCCGCATGCAGCGGCTGTGGTGCATTCATTTCATTCATTCCCCCGCATTGTTTGCACGCACCGCAATGGCATATTGAATGTAATCGATGCCTGTATTCAAAAGAGGAATAACAAAAAGCATTGCCTACTTTTGTGCGAGCGAGAGAGAGAGAGTGTGTGTGTGAGCTGCTGATGCATAGCACAAAGGACCGCAGACTGCAGCTTTTGCCCTAAATACAATACAATACAATTGTGGATTAATGAGCTTTTTGTGTGTGTTCCTTTCAGTATTTTTTTATTACGTATTTAAATACCGCGCTTTGTTGTTGCTTTCTATGTAGTTGTTGCTGTAGTTGTTGCTGCGTTCGTTTTGTGTTGCTTTGCCCGGCCTTAAACCAATCCGCATCCTGATCCCCTGATACTTCGCCAACCAGCTGCGCCGATGGGCGCCATAATTTCATGTACTTAACTCTCTCGCACTTTTGTTGAACTTTGCGATAATGTGAAATGCGTGAATTTAATTAGAAACTTTTGCGAGTTTTGTTTTTGTTTTTTGTATTTTAATTGAATTTGATTGCCAAATAAGTGAAGCCAAGGCAACCCGGGCTTGGGTGTACCCATTGACGAACCGAACTGAACTGAGCTCGTTACACACACACACACACACACACACACACAGAGATTTAAGCTAGTTAAAAGTTAGTTCATTAGGCGGTCGGGAAAGGGGCTTATAAAGTTTTTAGCCAGGTGCGAGGCACACACACACCTACAGCACAGCACAACACTCTGTGTAGGCACAACAACGACAATGCAAATACAACAAAAGCAACAACAAATCGCAAAACACAAAAAATATAAAATTAAAATAAAAATAGAAATAAAAGTAAGCATAAGAAAAGAAAAACCGCAACCAAAATGAACATTTTTCTAGCTACACAAGCCGCTTTCTAAACAAGAGCAAGAGCAGCGCAATTGTAACGCAACCCTCGCTATCCACGCCCACCGCCTCCTTCGATGAGGACGCCAACGGCACCGGCGACGATTCGGACAGCCGCTACGGCACCGGCCGTTCCCGCTATCTGGCCATGAAGGAGCGGCGCTCCCGTCTGGCGCGCAGCCGCTCCTCGCATCAGCTTGGCAACGAGGACGACGATCTGGATGAGCCCGTGTCGCCGACAACAGTTTCGCCGTCCGCTTACTTGGCCTCAAGGTGCGCAGTCTAACCAACCACAAAAAAAAAAAGAAATTACCAAAAAAACAAAAAAAAAGAACGAACCAGTCCCGACACCCAAAATATAACTCAGTTGTACATAGGACGCTATCGGTTGTATATATGGCATTAAAATACTTTATATATATATCTATATTTTATGATTATTATATATACAGACTTTTCTGGGCGCTTTCATTGTGCGTGTGCTATGCCCCCCGCGTCGCCCCTGTCCAGCCCTGTTTAATTTTCTATTTTTATGATCGAAAATGATTTTTGTGTAATTTTTCTTTTTATGAGTTTTATTTTCATTTCGTTTTTCTCACACGAGTTTCTCTGCGTGTTGGTCCCACGTTCTTTTCACGTTTCGTTCTCGTTTATGTTGCACTCTACACACACACACACACACACACTCACTAATTGAAGTTATTTAAAATTATATTTTTTGATTTCGTTTGTTTACAATTTTTTATTTTCTTTTTCATTTGTTTTACAAACTTTTTGTCGCTTTTTGAGTGACACCCAAAAAAATATAAAAAATACACATACAATATTTACTGCGCGTTCAATTAACCGAAATTAACAGGATTTAAGCCATTTTGTATAGTTCTTTTTTACTGTCTTTCTCAAATGCAGTTACCCACTCTGTACAAATCTCATGCAGTCTCATGCACACTCATCATGCAGTGTTCCATTTCAGTTCCGTAGCGCGCCTCATGCATAAAAAACAAAACCAAGCAGTCATTCATTTGAACCAGTTCCAAAGAGAAAAAACCATTTCAACTACCAAAACGAGGGCTGCGCGAGGCGTTGTGCATATGTGCTGCAGGCGTTTGGCTATTGTGTCCACAGTTTGACAGTCAGTTGACAGTTTGAGAGTGCCAACTAGCCAAGCCCTGTGCATTCCCCGCTCAACGCCTAGCTCAGCGCTCGTTCGGGGCAGCCTTATGTCTAATGCTTCGATCATGTCTTCCAGGTACAGCGGCTATGGCAGCAGCGATCTGGCGCGCAGTCGCTCCTCGCATGCGCTGAAGTCGCGCGACAATTCGCCGATAACGGATCGGAGCGCCGGCTCGTCACGCAGCGCGCTGGCCAGCTCGGCGGACAACAAGGATGGCGAGGCGCTCAGCTCGTGGGCGCGCTATTTGAAGAACAAATATGGCAATAAGAGCTCCAAGGATGCGCCTAGTGGCAGCAGCGTTGGTAGCGCACGCGACAGCCACGCCTCCAGCTCAACGGGGGCGGGGTCGCATGCGCACGGCACTGCTGGCAGCCGGAGCACCGCCAGCGATGTGTCCAGGCGCCTGAGCCTGGGCTTGCCGCTGCGTCAGGCCAATGAGCTGGCCTCGTCCGACGATGACGGGTCAAAAAACGGGCTAGGCTCCCCTACGTCCCCTACGGTAGCAGCAGCAGCAGCCGGTATAACCGGAGTGGCAGGTACTATCCCTAAACAGGTGTACCTGCGCAAGCGCCAGCAGCTGTTCCAGTTGGGGGGCCGGGGGAGCGAGCCCGGATCCTTTACATGGCCGCGCGGCCTAGCCGTCGGCCCCGACAATAGCATCGTCGTCGCCGATTCCAGCAATCATCGCGTCCAGGTCTTCGACTCCAATGGCATCTTTGTCAAGGAGTTTGGCGAATACGGCAACGGCGAGGGTGAATTCGATTGCCTCGCGGGCGTCGCAGTCAATCGCATCGGCCAGTACATCATAGCCGATAGGTGAGTTCTTTCTTTCTTTTTATTTATAATACTTTTTTTTTTTTGGCTGTAACCTTTAACCTTATTGTCCAGCTCTTGAGCTGCTCAGCTCGGCAGCTGCATTTTAATTAAGTCGAAACAAAAGTCCATGATTAATTCCCGGGCTTTGCTGCTGCTGCTGGTGCTTCAGTAGCTGCTCCGGAGCCGGGTAATTGGCACGGCTAAGCGCATAATAGTCGCGTTAATGAGAAACATGTGCGTTGCGGCCACCTCTGCCACCTCTGCTCCACAGCAGTCCCAGTTTAAGCCGCATGTACACTAACCTTTTTCTTTCTTTTTTTTGCTGGTGTACATATGGCGTGCATGTGCCGAATGTTCCTGGTGCTGCCATCCGGGCTGTCATTGTCTGACGAGAAATCTCGTTAAGCAGCATCGTTGTGCTCGGCCAGGCTCATTGTGTGTCTCAACTTTGATTTTGCACGTTAAGCGGCTTAGCCTAAGCCCAACGCCCAACGCTCACCAGCCCAGTAGCTGTTCTACGTGCACTGTTAAAGTTCCGGCGCGGTAATGAGTTCTCTACGCCCATTTTGTAATTAATGACAGTGCGAAGCGCTTCACATTTTGATGGCCGGGACAGCAAACATAGGCACTCAGTTAAGGCAACCAATAAATAGTCAAATGTTTAACGGAAGTATACGACTAGCAGTTACCCTGCTGGCAGCATTTCAATTAGTCTTAGCTGTGGTTTGGCTTGGCCAATATTCTTGCAATTCTCTCCGAGACCTAATTCACTTTTTGGCATGGGATTATATTGGTCTATGCAATTTGAACATAAGAATCCATATTCCTCATTTCTTGTGGTTAGCTTTTCTAGTCTGTGAGTTTCTTGAGTAAAATGAATGTATAGACAGTGAGAACTATGCTTGAAAATGAAGTAGGTTGATTCTTAATTTATAAGAAACTTGATTTATGTGTTTACGAACTCAAAAGCCAAATATCTTGCGGCTAGCTTTTATGGTCTTTGAGTTCCTTGAGTTAGTTGCCACAAAACAATGGAATACGAATGCGAGAACTGTAGATAAAAAGTATTTAAGTTGGTCTTCAATCTAGAATTAACTTTAAGTATGTATATGAGAATCCACTTACCTTATTTCTTGTGGCTATCTTATAAACTCTCTGAAGTTTCAAGACTTGTTTGCCATAAATGACTGGATAGATAGTAAGAGCTAGCTTAAAGCTTAATCTAAATTCTTAGCATTTAAAATGAGTTTGCATATATAAAAATCTTCTTGATATACTCCATGCTAATCATATTTAGAGGGCACAAAAAATACAACTTTAATTATGTTAAAGTATTCAGCTTTTTGCACTGCGCGTGGCGCAAACTAATTCTATGCGAATTGAGCAGCTGCATTTATGGCTCACTCTTGATAATAAAATAGTTTTTAAGTAAATACTTAAGAGCTGACTTTAAGTTTAAAGCAAGTAAACGTATATATTTGGGAAGCATTTTTGTCGCCATCATGTTGTCAGTTTGGTTTAACACGAGCTGCCTTTCAACTGTCTACTATGTTGCAGATACAATCATCGTATACAAGTGCTCGATCCACAAGGACGGTTCCTGCGCGCCTTCGGCTCGCAGGGCATCGCAGATGGCAAATTCAATTATCCTTGGGGCGTAACAACCGATGCACTCGGCTTCATTTACGTTTGCGATAAGGAGAACCACAGAGTGCAGGTAACGTCTGTGCTTCTGCCATTTGCATGCAAATATTTATAATCATCAGCAGGAGCAAAGGCGGCGGCTGCTAAAGAGTGGCGGCAGCAGCGGCCAGGGTCACATGGCCAAGCTCCAGTCCCAGCCCCAGCCAGATCCGCAGTGCCAGTGTCGGAGCCGAGAGCTCAGAGTCTTGCCCAATTTGTCACACTTGAGCTACGGCAGGCAGAAGGCAGCTGTAGCTGCAGCTGTAGCTGCTGCCACGCCCACAACAAGGCAGAGCAATTTTCATGCGCTTGACTGCAATATATTCGTATACACTGATGGACTCGCCGACTCTGGGACTCTCGGCCCGACCTGGACAGACGTTGAGCTGCCAGTCTGTGCCGGCTTCTGCCTTTGCCTTGATTTTATTTTTATTTTATTTCCAAATATTTTTCCTGTCCACCTCAATTAAAAAAGAGAAAAACACAAGAAACTTATGAATACGTTTCGTTTGGTGTCGTGTTTCGTTTTCGGTTTTCGCCTCTGGTCAGGTTTTCCAATCCGATGGTTCCTTCGTTGGTAAATTCGGTTCCTGCGGCCGCGGCGAGGGCCAACTTGAGCATCCGCATTATATAGCCGTATCGAATACGAATCGTGTTATTGTTTCCGATTCGAATAACCACAGAATTCAGGTGAGCATCAGCTTCTGGTTCACGGCTGTCTGGCCAGCTGAGCGCTTTTAATTAAAATATGCAACACCCTTCACTTTTACCTCCGCCAGATATTCGATGTTAACGGCAAGGTGCTGTCCACTGTGGGCGGCGAGGGCTCCGACGATGGCCAGTTCAAGTTTCCACGGTGAGTATTAATATTGACTCTACGTAATTGACTTTATGCTCACGGCACGAAAATGTTTGCGTACATTTCACAGGGGCGTGGCAGTCGATGATCAGGGCTATATATTTGTTGCCGATTCGGGCAATAATCGCATACAGATTTTCAATCCGGATGGCAGTTTTCTGAAGACCTTCGGCTCTTGGGGCTCCGGTGACTCGGAGTTCAAAGGACTCGAGGGCGTGGCCATCATGTCGAATGGCAACATTTTGGTATGCGATCGCGAGAATCATCGTGTTCAGGTATTCTAAGCCACGCCCAATGCCCTCCGCCCAGGCCGCCATAGCGCAAACCAGTGCATTACTTTTTATGATGATTCAGATTATTAATTAATACGTTCTTTTTAATTTTTCATTTAAACATTTTGAGTTTTGTTTGCCTTAAGACTTTGCTGTACAAAATTGAGTACCCAAATTGAATGTCCACATTTCTAGGCCTAGAAATTGCCAATCATTTAAGAAATCAACTCAAACAGAGAAATATGAAAGAAAGCAAAAAAATCGAAAAACTTGTTAGCTTGATGCAAAAAAAAGAAAAAAAAGAAGTAATATATATTGAATAATAATAAAAAAACGAAAGCGAAAACTCGTCAGAGTTGGAGTGAAAAAGCACTTGGCCCAATCATTTAGACATCTGACTGCAACACTCTCCTCCATAACTGCTCAGCTCTCTGGCCTAATTGAGATTTATTTGCGCTGCCGGCCAACAAATTTGCGCACAGAGCTACATTTTGGCTGCCTGCTGGCACTTTATTAAATTAAGATGTTTTCGGTTTGCAAAATGAAAGTTTTTTGGTTCCATCTACATAAACTATACGGTTTACAGCACGTGTGTGTGTGCGTCTGTGTGTGTGTGTGTGTGTGTGCACAACAAGAGCGAATAGTCAACAAGCAACAAGCACTGAAAGCAGCTGCAGATTTATGTGTAATCGCATAAATTTGTTTGCCAGCAAATGTTGCGCATACGCCATGTAGCACCACTCAGCACTAGAACAACTAACAAAAACGACTCAATGTTGTAATTCATAAAGCAAAACGAATCCTATATACACTTTCAAGTAATCTTAGACGCTCTTTGCAGAAAATTTAGCCAGACGAATTTGGTTTTTTACATTTTACAGCAGTTTTTATAACATCGAAGATCTTATGATAAAAAGAATATTGATCGGAATTAAATATTAATTTTTTAAAAAAATATATTTCATATACAAAAAAGTTCATATGTATGTATATATATACTTTGTTAATTAAAACACGGACCTCGAGCCAGCTAAATAAATATTTAATCTTTAGGGAAAATTAACTTTAAATATGACAAATATATTCTTTTATACTGTTAAACACTTACTAATCTACATATTTCAGGCAATATTTAAAGGTTGGCTACCAAAAAGTAAGTATTATTATTTAATAAATTTTTGTATTCCTATTATTATGATTATTCGTATTACTATTACTATTATCATTTTATTATTATTATTATTATTATATTTCAATTTCAATCTCTTACTTTTGGAGCAACAAAAATGTTAAAGTTTTCAATAGTTTTTAGCCCCATAAAAATCTTTGAAACTTTGGTGCCCAGATAGAATACTCTCTCTCATCGTAGACATAACGGTAAGGTACCCCCCCCCCCCCCCTCTTCACACACACATACACCCACATACACACACACACACACACACACCCGCAAATACAATGAACACAAAATGTTGCGACTGTAAGTGAGTTTTATGTGATTAAAATGCATGTGAGTGAGTGTGAATGGCAGTGTGTGTGTGTGAATGCGAGTTTGTGTTGTTTGAGTCTGTATGTGTGTGTATGTGTGTGCTGTTTGAGTGTTGCGCTTGCCGTGGAAGTTTATGACTTGCTCTCACGAGTATATCCCCACAACGCCTGATTACATAATAAAATTCGTTGATTTGCAGCAGTCGCAATTAACCTTTGATTGGTGAAAGTGAATGCCTACAAATTACAGGACAAATGACTGCCACGCCCAGCGTCTACCGCCCCCACAATATTCCCCCTTATTGCGGTATGCATTTGCTTAGCTAATTGAATCAAATGCGAGCATTTTGCATGTCACGCAGCAGCGACGCCTTTCAATTAGCACAGCAAGAGCTGCAGAGTTGAGGTTGAGGTTGAGGTTGACGGTGCGGTTGGGGGTGGGGGTGGGCGTGGGCTGCGGGGTAGTTGGTGGCATGGCGTTTATCGGTTCACATAAAATGCAACATTTGAATTCAACCTGGCACATTATAACGACAACGATAAAGTGCAAAAAAGTTGTGCAAAATTAAAGCGAACAATTTGCCAAAGTGCCGCTGCGTTTGCTGCCTTCTTTTTTTATTGGCTGCACATGCGTGCTATGGGCGTGGCAGCTGCCAAATAACAGCAGGTTTTTTTAATACTCGCCCGCAAAGTGAAGGGAGTATATTGGTTTCGATGAGCTAAAGGCTAAATCTAATCTAAGTCTTAATCTGAAGATCGCATCAAATATATGCTGGCTGCAGTCATCTCTTGCCACGCCCCTTTAACTGCATATGATGAGCTCCTCTCAAGATATATTTTACCTACAATATATGCAGGCCACACCAACATCTGTCCTCGGCACCTCAAATGCAAATGTTAAGCTACTCTTAAGTTCAATTCAAAACACATTTTAAGCTTCTGTTGGACTGTTAGAGGGTATTATGCAGTCGCTTATACCCGACTGCAACATTCCCAAGTGCTTTCTTTTTGTGGCATCTACTCCAGCAGCAACTCCGCTCAACTCCACACGATTCGATTTTTTTATATCTTGTAATTTTTATTTGCCATATTTGCATGCATCACGTGCGATGTTGCGAATTTCATTTAAATTAACTACTGCATGTCACAGGGGCGTATACAGTGGGTGGGTGGTGGGCGTGGTGCGTTACGTTTAATTGGAACACGTTCCGCAGCAACAACAACAACAACAACAACAACAACAACAACATTAACGAATGCGGCTACAGTTGCTTTTGTTTTATGGCCGCGCAATTTGCCCTGCCAAATGACAAAGTGATAAAAAATTATAAAACATCG